AAAAAAAAAAAAAAAAAAAGAAAAAAAAAGAAAAGGAAGAAGGAAAAGAAAATAAAAGACTCACCGACTTTCTCGCCCTGCGGCGCGTTGGTGTTACTGAGACTCCTGATGAACTGACCCCTTTTATAGTCGTCGTGCTTGTTATCGCCTAACTGGCTCCTGGACGGCTTCTCGTACAAGCCCGACTGACTGATGTACTCGCTGCTTTCGGGCATGGATGAGGATCGGCGAGAATCCCGCGCGTCGTCACGTTGTTGTTGTCGTTGTTGTTCGTTGACGGCGGCAGCGGCGGCGGCGGCATCGTCGTCAGCGACAGTTTTTTTCCGCGAACGCCGTCGGATCGACGACGTCGGGGACGCAGACGTGCCCACGGCGTTATCGTCGAGGTTGTCGCGCGTCGACGATTTCGTGTTTCGTGAGGTTTCGTGGTGGTGATCGACGGCCCGTGGGTGGTAGTTTTTAGCAGTGTCGGAGGTAGCGGTTTGGGAATCAAAGAGACTTGAATTAGCGTTACCGGGGTGGGGTGCTCGGTTACGGGGCCTACGCGGATCGCACGGGCCAAATCCGCAGTTCTCGCTGCACTGGCTCTCGCTCTCCATCGAGTACTCGTAATACTCGAGGGTGTCGCTGATCGCTACGTTCCTCTTACTACCCTGCTGCTGTTGTTGACTCGGATGCTGCTGGGACGCTTGCTGATGGCGTTGCTGTTGCTGCCTCTTCTCGAGCAGCTCGAGGTCCCTAGCCTCCGGGCAACTGCTATTTCGCCTACGGTACCTATACCTCGATTCTACCGAAGGTCTCCTCTCTCCTCCGCTCGAACGCGAGAACGAGCCAGACCTACCTAACTCGTACGACATCGCTAATTCCCGACACTCCGGACAGCTAGTCTTACGCCTACCGCGATACCGCGAGTCCGACCTAGCCAGCTCGTATGATTCTGCGTATGAATCGCGTGCCCGTACGTTCTCGTACTCGTATCTTGAGTCTACTACGTAACCCTCGCGAGTAGCCTCGCGCCCCCCGTCGTAGTAGCCCGGACTAACCATACCCTCGCTAACCATCGCGGCCTCGGTCCCGTTCTTCTGGCGGAAACAGTCCGCGCACACGACCGTCTCCATCGAGCCGAAATCCTCGTCCGAGTCCAGAATGAAGTTCGTACTTCTCTCTTCAATCTTTCTTCGCGGAGGATCGTAGTATCGAAGCTCCCTGGCCTCCGGGCAGCTGCTGTTCCGTTTCCGGCGGTACAGTCGTCTGGCTCTCTCTGCTCTCTCCGACGAGCTGAGTTCCTCGTCCGAGCGTAGAACCGGCGTCGATTCTGCTCGTTGCAGCATTATCCGCTTGCTCTCGGAGAAGCTCGGCACGGCCAACGTGTCTCTCATGCTCGACACCGACATCTCGCGATACGGCAAGTTCTCGTAGACACCCGGACTGACACCGCTGACTTCCCTGCTCCCTCTTCGACTTCTCCTCCTTCGCCTTCGCGGGAACGTGTTGCCCGCCTGGTACGCGTCAACCCGATCACACTCCGCTCCACTGTGCGCTTGATAGTCGTACTCCTCGGCGGAACGATACTCGCGATAGTCGTCCACGTACTCGCTTTCGACGTACGCTCGCGACGACCTCTTCCTCCGCTGTCTTCCGCTTCGACCGCTCTCCCTTCCTCTGTAATAATCGTCCTCGTACGTTTCCACGTCAGCTCTTGGCATTCCACTCTCGTCCCCGTAGTCGTACAATCGTCGGTCGGCGTCGTCGTCGTACTCCCTGTCGATGAAACCTTCGTCGTACTCGTCGTAGCCGTCCCAGTCGTAGCCGTGGTAACCGTTCTCCAAGTACGACTCGCTGCTTTTCGTTCGTCTTCGACTCGAACGACGGGACGAGGCTCTCTGATTGTCGTATCGCTTGGAACGATCGGAGGCGGCGGCGTGCATCAACGAGCGTGCGACGTCCCGGCGACGGTAGGACGTCTCCGCGGACGACAGCGCCTCGTCGATGCTGCAGTAGATATGCTCGTTGGCCGGGTCGCCGCTGTCGAGACTCTTGGTTCGTTTCTCGGACAGGCCGCGACTGAACGCGGGATCGTGTTCCTGGAACGTCGAGTCCCTGTACTTTCGTTTCGTCGGGTCCTCGCGGCCGAGAACGTTCCTCAGGCTGATCTGATCGTCGCTACTGAACGAATTCTCCTCGGAGAGGTCGTACGAATGGTAACCATCGCCCATGGCAAGGTCCACGCCCACCGGGAATGTCTGTTGGTTGAACAGGGGCACATAGATCTCCGTCTCGCCGCAGCTGAATTCCGAGTCGTATCCGTAGAACGGCTTGCCCCGATCCTTCTTCGCCTGCGCGTAGCTGTCGTAGCTCTTCTGTCGGTCGAGGTGCAAAATCTTCGGCACCTTGTCGTCGCCGTTCGAATCGAAATACGACTTACTCCGATCGCCGAGGGCTGGTATCTTGTCGCCGTAGCCGGCGTCGTTGATGGCCAGGTTCTTCTTCAGTTTGCGACGCGCGGTCCTCAGGCTGTCGTCGCTGAATATGTTGCTTGATATCGTGTCGTACTCGAAACTCTTGGCTCTGCGCGAGAGCATGTCGGCGTTTAGCCCGTAACGATCGGCGTAGGTGTCGTGCAGCACGTCGTAGTCGAAGCTCCTAGCCTTCGAGAATAAAAAAGATCTACGCGGCCGTAAGCTAACGTCTAGGTTCCTAATGCCGTGATCGTCCGTTACGTCGTGCAAGCCTCTCGAGAACAAGTGGTGCCGGGATTTCACGGCCCGGCCGGCGGCGCGGTCCTGCCAGCTACGCGACCGCCTACGCATACCGGAGTGATCCAGTTGATAGGGCGACGAGTATCTGTCGCGAAACTTCTCGATGAGACGATCGTTGAAGTCGACCTGAAGGCAATCCTCCACGTATATCTCCGGTATACGATTCTTGGAGCTACCGGTTAGCTCCTCTGGCTTGAGCATGTAACCCTCGGAGACGCTGTACTCGCTGGTCTCCGGGCTGTAATATCTCAGCATGTTCTCGTCGACGGTCTGCGACCTCGTGAACGGCGTACGCATCTTTCTGTACAACGAGCGTACCACTGCGGACTTGCTCCGTACGAGGGGATGCGGGGTGGGATTGTGCTTGCTGGGGTTGTTGCTCCTGGTGGGCTTGGTGGGATTGTTGTTCGGACAGTGACATTCGCTGCAGGGTACCCTAAGTCTGTGCCTGCGCCTATTGCGCCTAGGGGGCAGGGGCATAGGGGATATGACACCGGGTATTAAAACGTTTTTAACTGTCGGTCTGCAAACAATGTTTTTCATATAGAGTTTTAGCGCATCTGCGGATTACATACAAACGAGATTTCTATTGTACTTTATTTTATTTTATTTTTTTCTTTTTTTTCTTTTTTTGAGCCCATTCTTCGTTTTTCTTTCTTTTCAATTGAAAGGAGAAAAAAAAACAAGACTCTACTCGCACGTTCGCGATCGATCGAACGCGTTCTTTTTTCTCTTTTTTTTTTCTTTTTTTCTTTTCGCTTCTTTTTCCTGATAGTGTTTCCAGATAGTCTATATATTACCGGTCTTTCTTTTTTTTTATTTTTCTTCTTTATTTTTTGGTTTCTCCGGTTTTATTTCGTTTCTTTTTTCTCTTTTTTTTTTTTTTTGACGTG